GACAGACTCAGACTCAGCAACAAGACTGGCAGCGTAGTCTAGACGACTGCGAGCAGCAAAGTCGACGAGCTCAGCAACTAGGGCAGACGCAGCAGTGGACTCAAAGGAAGGGTCAGTGACAACAGTAGCAAGGAGAAGCGTGACAGTAGGACTGGCAGCACGAAGAGAGTCCGACTCCGGGTCGACAAGAGCAGGAAGAGAAGACTCAGGAGGAGAAGGCAAAGGGGCACGCAGAGGAGCAGTGGACGGACGTAGAGACATCCGGTGCGTGCTAGGGACAGGAGGAGGACGCTGACGCGAACCACGACCACTAGTGCGAGCAGGACGAACAGGCGACGCAGGGCAAGACGCAGGCTCACGACGCTCAGCAAGACCTCCAGTAGGACCAGTGTAGGGAGACGGAGAAGGCAGTGGGGAGGCCGGCTGTAACCGTAACTGTGACTGGACAAGCTGTGGACACTCTAAGGGAGGAGGAGGACCAGTAGAAAGCGGGAGACCAAGAACGTGCTGAAGGAGCGGAACGAAGTACGGCCGAGGCCGCGCGGCGACTCCAGACACAACAGGGACAGCACCAGTACCCCCAGTGGCAGCACCAACACCAGCAGCACCTCCAGCTCCAGTAGCTCCAGCAGTACCAGGAGCACCCTCAGCAGGACCGCCTCCAGGACCGACGGCAGTAGCCTCCGCGCCAACACCCGAAGCAGCTCTCGCTCTAGAAGTACCCGCAGGCCCAGCAGCTCCAGTACTCCGAGTACGAGCGCCTCCGGGACCCGCTGCACCAGCACCCACAGCAGCAGCAGAATCTCCAGTACCCGCAGCACCTCCAGCTCCAGCAGCTCGCCTCCAGCGCCGGGCAAACCACTCACGCAGCTCCTGTGGAGAGAGTGGCTCCCGGCGAGACGAAGCACCCAGAGAATCGCCAAGCTCAGCACCGCCAGACGTAGCACCCCCAGGCTCAGCACCCCCAGACTCAGCACCCCTAGGCTCAGCACCCCCAGGCTCTGCACCCCCAGTAGTAGCACCCTCAGGCTCAGCACCCCCAGAGTCAGCACCCCCAGAGTCAGCACCCCCAGAGTCAGCACCCCCAGGCTCAGCACCCTCAGCAGCACCAGAGTCACCAGCGACCTCGACAGGCTCGACAACGTCTACCTGGGACACACCTGAAGGGGCAGGACCCTGAGGGGGGAGGGGGTCTACCGGGGGGGGACCTGGCACAAGGAAGAGCGGTGGCGGGGGAAGGGACGGAGTGCGGTAGGGGAAGAGACGGTAGTAGGGGACCGACTCGTCGAACGTGACGTCCTGGGAGGACAGAACACGGCGAGAGGTGGGGTGGTAGAACTGCCACCCTGGCGCGTCGGGGGGGAAACCCAGGAAGACGCCAGGAGCAGCACGAGGGGACAGCTTGTCCGCAGACAAGTCGCGAACAAACGCCCGAGATCCCCAGACACGGAACGCAGACGCATCGCCAACCTTCCCCGTCCACAGCAAGGCTGGAGAGGTCTCCGGCATGGAGACCCTTGGCTGAAGGTTGATCTGATGCGCCGCGTACCGGACCGCAAACGGCCACAGAAAATGGGGGGCAGCCGCATGCATCATGGACGTACGGGCGACGTCCATGACCATGCCAATGCGGCGCTCAGCAATCCCATTTTGCTGTGGAGAGTCCGGAAGCGTGAAGGTCTGGCGGATGCCTCGTGCACGACAGTAGGCTCGCAGAAGGCCAGAGGAGAACTCTCCGCCTCTGTCGTAGTGCAGACGCAGAAGAGGAAAGTCCGAGCCGAAGCTCTTCCTGAGATGGAGACGAGCTGCGCGGATCCAGTCGATCAACACCTCAGTGACATCACCCTTGCTGTGCAAGGGAAGACTGTGGTGTAACGTGAGTAGTCGTCAACCACCAGCAGGAAGTAGCGCTCGTGACCCTGTCCACGGACGCGGGCCGGGCCCCACATGTCCATGTGAAGCGTCTGCAGCGGGGCCTCTGTCGGAGGAAACTGGGAGGAGTGAGGGGCAGCCCGCTGCCGCCCCTCGACACAGGGGACGCAGGTAGGGCCAGGCCCGGGAGGAAGGGGAGGGAGGGACCGGGGAAGACCAGAGACAAGGACACGGGAGGCCATGCTTCGGAGACGAAGCAGGGAGGGGTGACCAAGGCGGTGGTGCCAGAGGAGAGTCTCGTGAGACAGGAGGCGACACGAGCAGGGGGCAGACTCATGACCAGACGTGGACGCTGCAGCAAACACCTGACCCGATGCAGCTACCTGACCAGACGCAGTGACTGGAGGAGACGCAGTGGTAATAGTGTACATGCTCGACCCCGGCCGACGAGTAAATGTGGCAAGGTGTCGGCCTGTCCGAGCGTCCGTGCAGTGGGTCACCCGCTGACTCGCAGGAGTGAACTGGTGAACCCCCGCATCCTGCAGGTCAGCACCACTCACCAAGTTCGTAGAGAACGAGGGGAGGTAAAGACCAGACAGGGTGCCAGAGGGGGCCGCCGGACACGGGAGGACAGTGGAGAAGTGAGCAAGGACAGGGCCCCCAGAGGGGTCTGCCAGAGAGACTGCAACTGGCCGACCAAGCGGCGTGAGTGTGGTGCGGTCTCGAAAGAAGGAGCGGGAAGCCCCCGAATCAAGGGTGAAGGTGTGAGAGGCCGGAGCCGACGCGGTACCTGAGAGAGCAGACTCACCCGCACTTGAGGAAGCAGACTCACTAGCACCTAGAGCAGCAGCCGCACCTGTACCTGGAGCAGGAGACACACTAGCACCCAGAGCAGCAGCCTCACCAGCAGCTAGAGCAGCAGGCTCTATACCCGGGTCAGGCGGTACGCACAGGTGACAGGCACGGTCAGCACTAGTAGGCAATGCATACATGGCAGTGAGAATAGCATCATAGTCAAGAGCAAATATATCTACCCTCTGCCTAAGCAACTCCACCCAGTCGGGGAGCTCAGCCTCGTCGCCAAACTCGGTACGCCAGGCGTCGCTCAGACGGGCGAAGCAGCGGGACTGTGTGTGACTAGGCGTCCCACAAGGCTGACCAGTCCGAGCACCAGTGCGAATCACGTAAGAGCAGCGAACAGAACTGAGAGACCCTCTACTCTGAGCGTACCCCACTGCAGGCTAGAGAACAATAACATTCTGACAGTTCGCCAAGCGAATTGGTTTGCCAATGAGATGGGAAAAAAGGATGTGAAACAGGTTGATAGAGAGCTCTCCACAAGCACCAAGGACTGTCATCACGTGGTACCTAAGTGTCGCCAAGGAAATCTCTTCAGCTGAGAAGCCTTTCGCAGCACGTTCCTTCACCCTTGCAGTGTCACATCCGCACAGCTCACTTACACCACTTGCTCTTCCGTCTTTCGTAACATGTCCACCCTCATTCTCAACAGCCGCATGCATCACTGGTGACACAAGGCGAAATCTTGGGGATGGAGATGATGACGATACTAGCTCTGAAAATTTCTGTGGAAGTAACTGGCCCCAGTCATGGATATCAGCTCCTTAAGTCAGTAGCTGCAAAGATACTGGAAGCGACCTGATTACTCTAGTGGTCGCAGCCACTTTGACATCACTGACATTACGGTCATGGAGACTAGATACAAGTGGGACGAAGCCAGAGTCAGCAGTGATAAGCACGACGCATGAAGAGACCGACCTGAAAGTTCGTGCAATGGGAAAAAAAATGGTGGTTCGTCGGGAACGGTTTTGGCGTTAGATCGGAATTGAAGCAAAGGGCTTACCTGCTCGGTAAGACTTCATGCTGATTTACTTTAGAGACTTGAACTCCTCTACGGTTGTCCAAAACGAAGCCCATGACCTCGAGAATTATGGCCTTGTCCGCCGATTCCTTCCCTGATGGTACCTGCACAAACTCCACACCGCATGCTTGAAGCTCGCTGGCACGTGAACCGAGAAGTTTCTGCTTTCCGTAAGCTGCGAACCGGCTGACTTCTCCATACGAGAAAAAAAACAGCTTTCAAACGACGGACGACATCCGTGTTGTGTTGCATCCATGAGGGATTGCACAGTTCTCGATATCCCAGAAGGCTCCAACACAGACTCCCCGGACTGGATGACGAATCTCTGGCTGATCCAATTGGCCGATATTAAAGTTAATTGGTTTGCGCGAAAGTACTAAAGCCATCACTTGGTCTGAAGCAAGAGGTGCTTTTCCGAATGTAGGAGAACGCGTACCACGCGCCGGTTAAGGAGGACTTTGGCTTGGCGAACACCATTATGTTCTTCAGTCTTTCTATATGAAATTACTAACGGCAGCCCAGAAGAGACAGACCACAAGCTCGGAGAGATTGAGCTTGGCTACCTTTTCCCTGAACGAGCCGCGAGCCATCATCGACATGCGTAGAGTTTTCTTGAGGAATCCGAGCGTTCAGATTTGGCTCTTCCACATTCGACACTTCGGTTTTGCCTGCGACACCTGCGACATAACGCAGCCCACAGGGCAACCAAAAGCGACATTCGCAGCTCGCAGGCCCACATTGCGGGAATGATGCACGACTCCATTCGCCCGCTTTGCGAAATAACAGCACTTCGCTGGCATCAACATCAATCGTACATGTTGCGATTGGTTCGTGAACATCATCTGCAGAGAAATGCCTCGGAAAGCTGAACACCAATCAGTGATCAGTCACATTCACCATCTGTGCACAATATGTCGACAAAATTCAAACTGTAGTATGATTACTAGTCCGTAAACAGGGTAACTGATCCGCACACCGGTCGCAGTTTACGATCGACCGTTTACTTATACCACGTCCTTAGCAAATGCGGGTGTATTTACACCCTGTTCTTGATAATTTCACACCCCCGCATCCCGAACCGCGATTTTTTTTGCCCGAGAGGGTGTGAAATTAAAGGGGCGAATATTCTCCCCGATAATTTCACTCTCGAGGCGCGGTAAAGCTGTGCTGGCAGGGAATGAAAATGACTTGAAATGACCCTCCTCAATGTTGACGATCTTGAAAAATATTTGTGTCGAATGAAAAACAGTCACGTCAGGATTGCGTTTATCGTAATCCTGACCACAAATTCGAATTTGAGTGCCCACACCCAAAATCGAAAGCCTAATCACAATCGGGTTGGAAATTCGACACATGCGCGTGGTTTGGAAGTAACATGCCTTAGTAGCAAATGGAGTCTCAAATTACCAACCCAAAGCCGTGCAGCGAAATTGACACCTTGTGATTGACAAAACTTTGGATGCGACCCGAAATTTCCCACCTTACGTGGTCCTCCAAGTCCACGTCCACGTCCACGTCCACCTCAACGTCCACGTCCACGTCCATGTCCACGACCACGTCCACGTCCACGTCCACATCCACGTCCACCACGTCCACGTGCACGTCCTCCACGTCCACGTCCATGTCCGCGTCCACGTCCACGTCCAGGTCCTCCACGTCCACGTCCAAGTCCACGTCCACGTCCACGTCCACGTCCACGTCGTGGACGACCACGTCCACGTCCACGTCCACGTCCACGACCACGTCCAGGACCACGTCCACGTCCACGTCCACCTCCACGTCCACGTCCACGTCCACGTCCACGTCCACGTCCAAGTCCTCCACGTCCACGTCCAAGTCCACGTTCACGTCCACGACCACGTACACGTCCACGTCCACGTCCACCTCCACGTCCTCCACGTCACGTCCACATCCTCCACGTCCACGTCCACGACCACGTCCACGTCCATGTCCAGGTCCACGTCCACGTCCAAGTCCACGTCCACGTCCACGTCCACGTCCACGTCCTCCACGTCCATGCCACGTCCTCCACGTCCACGTCCACGTCCACGTCCACGTCCACGACCACATCCACGTCCACGTCCATGTCCACGTCCACGTCCACGTCCACGTCCTCCAGGTCCACGTCCACGTCCTCCACGTCCACGTCCACGACCACGTCCACGTCCACGTCCAAGTCCACCTCCACGTCCACGTCCACGTCCACGACCACGTCCACGTCCACATCCACCTCCAAGTCCACGTCCACGTCCACGTCCACGACCACGTCCACGTCCACGTCCACATCCTCCACGTCCACGTCCACGTCCTGAACGTCCACGTCCACGTCCACGTCCACGTCCACGTCCACGTCCACGTCCTCCACGTCCACGTCCAAGTCCACGTCCACGACCACGTCCACGTCCACGACCACGACCACGTCCACCTCCACGTCCACCTCCACATCCACGTCCACCTCCACATCCACGTCCTCCACGTCCACGTCCACGTCCTTTACGTCCACGTCCACGTCCACGTCCACGACCACGTCCACGTCAACGTACACGTCCACGTCTACGACCACGTCCACGTCCACATCCACGTCCACGTCGACGTCCACGACCACGTCCACGTCCACGTCCAGGTCCACGTCCATGTCCACGTCCACGTCGTGGACGACCACGTCCACGACCACGTCCAGGACCACGTCCACGTCCACGTCCACGACCACGTCCACGTCCACGTCCACGTCCTAGTCTACGTCCACGTCCAGGTCCACGTCCACGTCCACGTCCTCGTCCACGTCCACGTCCTCCACGTCCACGTCCACGTCCTCCACATCCACGTCCACGTCCACGTCCAGGACCACGTCCACGTCCACGTCCACGACCACGTCCACGTCCACGTCCACGTCCACGTCCACGTCCACGTCCTCCACGTCCACGTCCACGTCCACGTCCAGGTCCTCCACGTCCACGTCCACGTCCACGTCCACGTCCACATTCAGGTCCATGTCCACGTCCACGTTCACGACCACGTCCACGTCCACGTCCACGTCCACGACCACGTCCACGTCCACGTCCACGTCCACATCCTCCACGTCCACGTCCTCCACGTCCTCTACGTCCACATCCACGTTCACGTCCACGTCCTCGTCCACGTCCACGTCCACGTCCAGGTCCTCCACGTCCACGTCCAAGTCCACGTCCACGTCCACATCCACGTCCACGTCCACGTCCTCCACGTCCACGTCCACATCCTCCACGTCCAAGTCCACTTCCACATCCACGTCCACGTCCACGACCATGTCCACGTCCATATCCATGTCCACGTCCACGTTCACGACCACGTCCACGTCCACGTCCACGTCCAGGTCCACGTCCACGTCCATGTCCACGTCCACGTCCATGTCCACGTCCACGTACATGTCCACGTCCACGTCGTGGACGACCACGTCCACGTCCACGTCCACGACCACGTCCAGGACCACGTCCACATCCACGTCCAAGTCCTCCACGTCCACGTCCACGTCCACGACCACGTACACGTCCACGTCCTCCACGTCCACGTCCACGTCCTCCACGTCCACGTCCCCGTCCACGTCCACGACCACGTCCACGACCACGTCCACGTCCACGTCCACGTCCTAGTCCACGTCCACGTCCACGTCCACGTCCTCGTCCACGTCCACGTCCTCCACGTCCACGTCCACGTCCTCCACGTCCACGTGCACGTCCACGTCCACGTCCACGACCACGTCCACGTCCATGTCCACGTCCACGTCCACGACCACGTCCACGTCCACGTCCACGTCCTCCACGTTCACATCCACGTCCTCCACGTCCACGTTTACGTCCACGACCTTGTCCACGTCCAGGTCCTCCACGTCCACGTCCACGTCCACGTCCACATCCACGTCCACCTCCATGTCCACGTCCACGTCCACGTCCACGTCCACGTGCACGTCCACGTGCACGTCCACGTCCACGTCCTCCACGTCCACATCCACGTCCTCCACGTCCACGTCCACGTCCACGTCCACGTGCACGTCCACGTGCACGTCCACGTCCACGTCCTCCACGTCCACATCCACGTCCTCCACGTCCACGTCCACGTCCACGTCCACGTCCACGTCCATGTCCACGTCTACGTCCACGTTCACGACCACGTCCACGTCCACGTCCACGTCCAGGTCCACGTCCACGTCCTTGTCCACGACCACGTACACGTCCACGTCCACGTCCACATCCACATCCACGACCATGTCCACGTCCACGTCCACGTCAACATCCTCGTCCTCCACGTCCACGTCCACGTCCTCTACGTCCACGTCCACGTTCACGTCCACGTCCTCGTCCACGTCCACGTCCACGTCCACGTCCAGGTCCTCCACGTCCACGTCCAAGTCCACGTCCACGTCCACATCCACGTCCACGTCCACGTCCTCCACGTCCTCCACGTCCACGTCCTCGACGTCCAAGTCCACTTCAACGTCCACGTCCACGTCCACGACCATGTCCACGTCCACATCCACGTCCACGTCCACATTCACCACCACGTCCACGTTCACGACCACGTCCACGTCCACGTCTACGTCCAGGTCCACGTCCACGTCCATGTCCACGTCCACGTCCACGTCGTGGACGACCACGTCCACGTCCACGTCCACGACCACGTCCAGGACCACGTCCACGTCCACGTCCAAGTCCTCCACGTCCACGTCCACGTCCACGTCCACGACGACGTACACGTCCACGTCCACGTCCTCCACGTCCACGTCCACGTCCACGTCCACGTCCACGTCCACGTCAACGATCACGTCCACGTCCATGTCCACGTCCACGTCCACGACCACATCCACGTCCACGTCCACGTCCTCCACGTCCACGTCCACGTCCTCCACGTCCACGTCCACGTCCACGTCCACATCCATGTCCACGTCCACGTCCTCCACGTCCACGTCCACGTCCTCCACGTCCACGTCCACGTCCTCCACGTCCACGTCCACGTCCACGTCCAGGTCGTCCACGTCCACATTTACGTCGTCCTCCACGTCCACGTCCACGTCCTCCACGTCCACGTCCACGTCCACGTCCAGGTCGTCCACGTCCACGTCCAGGTCGTCCTCCACGTCCACGTCCAAGTCCACGTCCACGTCCACGTCCACGTCCACGTCCACGTCCTCCACGTCCACGTCCACGTCCACGTCCAAGTCCACGTCCACGTCCACGTGCACGTCCACGTCCACGTCCTCCACGTCCACGTGCACGTCCACGTCCACGTCCTCCACGTCCACGTCCACGTCCTCCACGTCCACGTCCACGTCCACGTCCACGACCACGTCCACGTCCACGTCCACGACCACGTCCACGTCCACGTCCATGACCACGTCCACGTCCACGTCCACGTTCACGACCAGGTCCAAGTCCACGTCCACGTCCAGGTCCACGTCCACGTCCACGTCCACGTCCTCCACGTCCACGTCACGTCCTCCACGTCCACGTCCACGTCCACGTCCACATCCACATCCACGTCCACGACCACGTCCACGTCCACGTCCACGTCCTCCACGTCCACGTCCACGTCCACGTCCTCTACGTCCACGTCCACGTTCACGTCCACATCCACGTCCACGACCACGTTCACGTCCACGTCCACGTCCTCCACGTCCACGTCCACGTCCACGTCCAGGTCCTCCACGTCCACGTCCAAGTCCACGTCCACATCCACGTCCAGGTCCACGTCCTCCACGTCAACGTCCACGTCCTCCACGTCCAAGTCCACTTCCACGTCCACGTCCACGTCCACGACCATGTCCACGTCCACATCCACGTCCACGTCCACGTTCACGACCACGTCCACGTCCACGACCAGGTCCACGTCCACATCCACGTCCACGTCCACGTCCACGTTCACGACCACGTCCACGTCCACGTCCACGTCCACGTCCACGACCAGGTCCACGACCACGTCCACGTCCACGTCCACGTCCACGTCCACGTCCATGCCACGTCCTCCACGTCCACGTCCACGTCCACATCCACATCCACGTCCACGACCACGTCCACGTCCACGTCCACGTCCTCCACGTCCACGTCCACGTCCACGCCCTCTACGTCCACGTCCACGTTCACGTCCACATCCACGTCCACGACCACGTCCACGTCCACGTCCTCCACGTTCACGACCACGTCCACGTCCACGTCCACGTCCACGTCGTGGACGACCACGTCCACGTCCACGTCCACGACCACGTCCGGGACCACGTCCACGTCCACGTCGTGGACGACCACGTCCACGTCCACGTCCACGACCACGTCCAGGACCACGTCCACGTCCACGTCCAAGTCCTTCACGTCCACGTCCACGTCCACGTCCACGTCCACGTCCACGTCCACGACCACGTACACGTTCACGTCCACGTCCTCCACGTCCACGTCCACGTCCTCCACGTCCACGTCCACGTCCACGACCACGTCCACGTCCACGTCCACGTCCACGTCCACGTCCTCGTCCACGTCTACGTCCTCGACGTCCACGTCCTCCACGTCCACGTCCTCGTCCTCCACGTCCACGTCCACGTCCACGTCCACGTCCACGACCACGTCCACGTCCACGTCCACGTCCTCCACGTTCACATCCACGTCCTCCACGTCCACGTCCACGTCCACGTCCAGGTTCTCCACGTCCACGTCCAAGTCCACATCCACGTCCACGTCCACGTCCTCCACGTCCACGTCCACGTCCTCCACGTCCACGTCCACGTCCACGACCACGTCCACGTCCACGTCCACGTCCACGACCATGTCCACGTCCACGTCCACGTCCACGTCCACGTCCACGTCCACGTCCACGTCCAGGTCCTCCACGTCCACGTCCAAGTCCACATCCACGTCCACGTCCACGTCCTCCACGTCCACGTCCACGTCCTCCACGTCCACGTCCACGTCCACGACCACGTCCACGTCCACGTCCACGTCCACGTCCACGACCATGTCCACGTCCACGTCCACATCCACGTCCACGTCCACGTCCAGGTCCTCCACGTCCACGTCCACGTCCTCCACGTCCACGTCCACGTCCAGGTCCTCCACGTCCACGTCCACGACCACGTCCACGTCCACGTCCACGACCACGTCCAGGTCCACGTCCATGACCACGTCCACGTCCACGTCCACGACATGGACGACCACGTCCACGTCCAAGACCACGTCCAAGACCACGTCCACGTCCACGTACACGTCCACCTCGACGTCCACGTCCACGTCCACGTCCACGTCCACGTCCACGTCCAGGTTCTCCACGTCCACGTCCAACTCCACATCCACGTCCACGTCCACGTCCTCCACGTCCACGTCTACGTCCTCCACGTTCACGTCCACGTCCACGACCACGTCCACGTCCACGACCACGACCACGTCCACGTTCACGTCCACGTCCACGTCCACGTCTACGTCCATGTCGTGGATGACTACGTCGACGACCACGTCGACGACCATGTCCAGGTCCACGTCCAGGACCACGTCCACGTCCACGACCACGTCCACGTCCACGTCCACGACCACGTCCACGTCCACGTCCACGTCCACGTCCACGTCCATGTCCACGACCACGTCCACGTCCACGTCCACATCCACGTCCATCACGTCCACGTGCACGTCCTCCACGTCCACGTCCACGACCACGTACACGTCGACGTCCACGTCCACGTCCAAGTCCACGTCCACGTCCACGTCCACGACCACGTCCACGTCCACGTCCACCTCCACGTCCACGTCCACGTCCACGACCACGTACACGTCCACGTCCACGTCCTCCACGTCCACGTCCACGTCCAGGTCCTCCACGTCCACGTCCACGTCCACGTCCACGTCCACGTCCACGACAACGTCCACGTCCACGTCCATCACCACGTCCACGTCCACGTCCACGACGTGGACGACCACGTCCACGTCCACGACCACGTCCAGGACCACGTCCACGTCCATGTACACGTCCACCTCGACGTCCACGTCCACGTCCACGTCCACGTCCAAGTCCTCCACGTCCACGTCCACGTCCATGTCGTGGATGACTACGTCGACGACCACGTCCACGACCACGTCCAGGTCCACGTCCAGGACCACGTCCACGTCCACGACCACGTCCACGTCCACGTCCACGTCCACGACCACGTCCACCTCCACGTCCAGGTCCACGTCCACGTCCACGTCCAAGTCCACGTCCACGTCCACGTCGAGGGCCACGTCCACGTCCACGTCCACGTCGTGGACGTCCACGTTCACGTCCACGTCCACGACCACGTCCAGGACCACGTCCACGTCCACGTTCACGTCCACGTCCACCTCCACGTCCACGTCCACGTCCACGTCCACCTCCACGTCCACGTCCGCCACGTCCACGTCCACGTTCACGTCCACGTCCACGTCCACCTCCATGTCCACGTCCACGTCCACGTCCACCTCCACGTCCACGTCCCCCACGTCCACATCCACGTCCACGTCCACGACCACGTCCACCTCCACGTCCACGTCCTCCACGTCCACGTCCACGTCCCCCACGTCCACGTCCACGTCCACGTCCACGACCACGTCCACGTCCACGTCCAAGTCCACGTCCACGTCCACGACCACGTCCACGTCCACCTCCACGTCCACGTCCACGTCCACGTCCACCTCCACGTCCACGACCACGTCCACGTCCACGTACTCCACGTCTACGTCCACGTCCAGGTCCTCCACGTCCACGTCCAAGTCCACGTCCACGTCCACGACCACGTCCACGTCCACGTCCACGTCCAGGACCACGTCCACTTCCACGTCCACATCCATATCCACGTCCACGACCACGTCCACGTCCACGTACACGTCCACGTCCACGTCCACGACCACGTCCACGTCGACATCCACGTCCACGTCCAAGTCCACGACCACGTCCACTTCCACGTCCAGGTCCACGTCCACGTCCACGTCCACGTCCACGTCGTGGACGACCACGTCCACGTCCACGACCACATCCAGGACCACGTCCACGTCCACGACCACATCCAGAACCACGTCCACGTCCACGTACACGTCCACCTCGACGTCCACGTCCACGTCCACGGCCAAGTCCTCCACGTCCACGTCCACGTCCACGTCATGGTCCACGTCCACGACCACGTCCAGGTCCACGTCGTGGACGACCACGTCGACGACCACGTCCACGACCACGTCCACGTCCACGTCCACGTCCACGTCCACGACCACGTCCACGACCACGTCCACGTCCACGACCACGTCCACGTCCACCTTTACCTCCACGTCCACGTCCACGTCCACGTCCTCCACGTCCACGTCCACGTCCTCGTCCACGACCACGTCCAGGACCACGTCGCCGTCCACGTCCTCGTCCACGTCCACGTCCACCTCCACGTCCACGTCCACGTCCACGTCCACGTCCAGGGCCACGTCCACGTCCACGTCCACGTCGTGGACGACCACGTTCACGTCCACGTCCACGACCACGTCCAGGATCACGTCCACGTCCACGTTCACGTCCACGTCCACGTCCACCTCCACGTCCACGTCCACGTCCACCTCCACGTCCACGACCACGTCCAGTCCACGTCCAGGTCCACGTCCACGTCCACGTCCACGTCCACGACCACGTCCAGGTCCACGTCCACGTCCACGTCTACGTCCAGGTCCACGTCCACGTCCACGTCCACGTCCACGTCCTCCACGTCAACGTCCACGTCCTCCACGTCAACGTCCACGACCATGTCCACGTCCACGTCCACGTCCACGTCCAGGTCCACGACCACGTCTACGTCCAGGTCCACGTCCACGTCCACGACCAAGTCCACGTCCACGTCCACGACCAAGTCCACGTCCACGTCCACGTCCACGTCCAAGTCCACGTCCACGTCCACGACCACGTCCAGTCCACGTCCACGTCCACGACCACGTCCAGTCCACGTCCAGGTCCACGTCCAAGTCCACGTCCACGTCCACGTCCACGACCACGTCCACGTCCACGTCCACGTCCACGACCACGTCCACGTCCACGTCCACGTCCACGTCCACCACCACGTCCACGTCCACGTCCACGTCCACAACCACGTCCACGTCCACAACCACGTCCACGACCACGTCCAGGTCCACGTCCAGGACCACGTCCACGTCCACGACCACGTCCACGTCCACGTCCACGTCCACGACCACGTCCACCTCCACGTCCAGGTCCACGTCCACGTCCACGTCCAAGTCCACGTCCACGTCCACGTCCACGTCGAGGGCCACGTCCACGTCCACGTCCACGTCGTGGACGTCCACGTTCACGTCCACGTCCACGACCACGTCCACGTCCACGTTCACGTCCACGTCCACGTCCACCTCCACGTCCACGTCCACGTCCACGTCCACCTCCACGTCTACGTCCGCCACGTCCACGTCCACGTCCCCCACGTCCACATCCACGTCCACGTCCACGACCACGTCCACCTCCACGTCCACGTCCTCCACGTCCACGTCCACGTCCCCCACGTCCAAGTCCACGTCCACGTCCACGACCACGTCCACGTCCACGTCCACCTCCACGTCCACGTCCACGTCCACGTCCACCTCCACGTCCACGACCACGTCCACGTCCACGTCCTCCACGTCCACGTCCACGTCCAGGTCCTCCACGTCCACGTCCAAGTCCACGTCCACGTCCACGTCCACGTCCACGACCACGTCCACGTCCACGTCCACGTCCACGTCCAGGACCACGTCCACTTCCACGTCCACATCCATATCCACGTCCACGACCACGTCCACGTCCACGTACACGTCCACGTCCACGTCCACGTCCACGACCACGTCCACGTCGACATCCACGTCCACGTCCAAGTCCACGACCACGTCCACTTCCACGTCCAGGTCCACGTCCACGTCCACGTCCACGTCCACGTCCACGTCGTGGACGACCACGTCCACGTCCACGACCACATCCAGGACCACGTCCACGTCCACGACCACATCCAGAACCACGTCCACGTCCACGTACACGTCCACCTCGACGTCCACGTCCACGTCCACGTCCACGTCCAAGTCCTCCACGTCCACGTCCACGTCCACGTCGTGGACGACCACGTCCACGACCACGTCCAGGTCCACGTCCACGTCCACGTCCACGACCACGTCCAGGTCCACGTCGTGGACGACCACGTCGACGACCACGTCCACGACCACGTCCACGTCCACGTCCACGTCCACGACCACGTCCACGACCACGTCCACGTCCACGACCACGTCCACGTCCACCTTTACCTCCACGTCCACGTCCACGTCCACGTCCTCCACGTCCACGTCCACGTCCTCGTCCACGACCACGTCCAGGACCACGTCGCCGTCCACGTCCTCGTCCACGTCCACGTCCACCTCCACGTCCACGTCCACGTCCACGTCCACGTCCACGTCCAGGGCCACGTCCACGTCCACGTCGTGGACGACCACGTTCACGTCCACGTCCACGACCACGTCCAGGATCACGTCCACGTCCACGTCCACGTCCACGTCCACCTCCACGTCCACGTCCACGTCCACGACCACGTCTAGTCCACGTCCAGGTCCACGTCCACGTCCACGTCCACGACCACGTCCACGTCTACGTCCACGTCCACGTACACGTCTACGTCCAGGTCCACGTCCACGTCCACGTCCACGTCCACGTCCTCCACGTCCACGTCCTCCACGTCCATGTCCACGTCCTCCACGTCTACGTCCACGACCATGTCCACGTCCACGTCCACGTCCATGTCCACGACCACGTCCATGTCCACGTCCACGACCACGTCCACGTCCACGTCCACGACCACGTCCACGTCCACGTCCACGTCCACGACCACGTCCACGTCCACGTCCACGTCCACGTCCAGGTCCAGGTCCACGTCCACGTCCACGTCCACGACCAAGTCCACGTCCACGTCCACGTCCACGATCACGTCCAGTCCACGTCCACGTCCACGACCACGTCCAGTCCACGTCCAGGTCCACGTCCAAGTCCACGTCCACGTCCACGTCCACGACCACGTCCACGTCCACGTCCACGTCCACGTCCACGACCACGTCCACGTCCACGTCCACGTCCACGTCCACGTCCACCACCACGTCCACGTCCACGTCCACGACCACGTCCACGTCCACGATCACGTCCACGTCCACGTCCACGTCCACGTCCACGACCACGTCCACGTCCACGTCCACGTCCAAGTCCACGTCCACGTCCACGTCCACGTCCACGTCCACGTCCACGTCCACGACCACGTCCACGTCCACGTCCACGACCACGTCCACGTCCACGTCCACGTCCACGACCATGTCCACGTCCCACGTCCACGTCCACGTCCAAGTCCACGTCCACGACCACGTCCATATCCACGACCACGTCCACGTCCACGTCCACGTCCAAGTCCACGTCCACGTCCACGACCACGTCCACGTCCACGTCCAGGTCCACGTCCACGTCCACGTCCACGTCCACGTCCACGTCCACGTCCAAGTCCACGTCCACGACCACGTCCACGTCCACGTCCACGACCACGTCCACGACCACGTCCAGGACCACGTCCACGTCCACGTCCACGTCCACGTCCACGTCCACCTCCACGTCCACGTCCACGACCACGTCCACGTCCACGTCCACGTCCACGTCCACGTCCACGACCACGTCCACGTCCACGACCACGTCCACGTCCACGTCCACGTCCACGTCCACAACCACGTCCAGTCCACGTCCACGTCCACGTCCACGTCCACGTCCACGACCACGTCCAGGTCCACGTCCAGGTCTACGACGTGGACGTGGACGTGGATGTGGACGTGGACCTGGACGTAGACGTGGACGTGGGTGTGGACCTGGACGTGGACCTGGACGTGGTTGTGGACGTGGACGTGGACGTGGACTTGGTCGTGGACGTGGACGTGGTCGTGGACGTGGACGTGGACGTGGCAAAGACGTGGTCGTGGACGTGGACGTGGACGTGGACATGGACGCGGTCGTGGACATGGACGTGGACGTGGACGTGGACGTGGTCGTGGACGTAGACGTGGAGGACGTGGACGTGGACGTGGAGGACGTGGACGTGGACGTGGACGTGGACGTGGACCTGGACGTGGACGTGGACGTGGACGTGGACGTTGACCTGGACGTGGTCGTGGACGTGGACGTGGACCTGGACGTGGACGTGGACGTGGACGTGGTCGTGGACGTGGACGTGGACGTGGACGTGGTCGTGGACGTGGACGTGGACGTGGACGTGGTCGTGGACGTGGTCGTGGACGTGGTCGTGGACGTGGACGTGGACGTGATCCTGGACGTGGTCGTGGACGTGGACGTGGACGTGGACGTGGTCGTGGACGTGGTCGTGGACGTGGTCATGGACGTGGACGTGGACGTATACGTGGACCTGGACGTGGACGTGGACGTGGACGTCGACGTGGACGTGGACGTGGACGTCGACGTGGACGTGGTCGTGGACGTGGACGTGGACGTGGTCGTGGACGTGGTCGTGGACGTGGACGAGGACGTGGAGGTGGACGTGGACGTGGACGTGGTCGTGGTCGTTGACGTGGACGTGGACGTGGTCGTGGACGTGGACGTGGACGTGGACATGGACGAGGTCGTGGACATGGACGTGGACGTGGACGTGGACGTGGTCGTGGACGTGGACGTAGAGGTGGAGGACGTGGACGTGGAGGACGTGGACGTGGACGTGGACCTCGACGTGGACGTGGACGTGGACGTGGACCTGGACGTGGACCTGGACGTGGTCGTGGACGTGGACGTGGACGTGGACTTGGACGTGGACGTGGACGTGGACGTGGTCGTGGACGTGGTCGTGGACGTGGACGTGGACGTGGTCGTGGACGTGGTCGTGGACGTGGACTTGGTCGTGGACGTGGACGTGGACGTGGACGTGGACGTGGACTTGGTCGTGGACGTGGACGTGGACGTGGACGTGGTCGTGGACGTGGACGTGGACGTGGACGTGGTCGTTGACGTGGACGTGGACGTGGACTTGGTCGTGGACGTGGACGTGGACGTGGACGTGGTCGTGGTCGTGGACGTGGACGTGGAGGTGGTCGTGGACGTGGTCGTGGAGGTGGACGTGGTCGTGGACGTGGACGTGGACGTGGACGTGGTCGTGGACGTGGTCGTGGACGTGGACGTGGACGTGGTCGTGGACGTGGTCGTGGACGTGGACTTGGTCGTGGACGTGGACGTGGACGTGGACGTGGACGTGGACTTGGTCGTGGACGTGGACGTGGACGTGGTCGTGGACGTGGACGTGGACGTGGTCGTTGACGTGGACGTGGACGTGGACTTGGTCGTGGACGTGGACGTGGACGTGGACGTGGTCGTGGTCGTGGACGTGGACGTGGACGTGGTCGTGGACGTGGTCGTGGAGGTGGACGTGGTCGTGGACGTGGACGTGGACGTGGACGTGGACGTGGACGTGGATCTGGACGTGGACGTGGACGTGGATCTGGACGTGGTCGTGGACGTGGACGTGGACGTGGTCGTAGACGTGGACGTGGACGTGGACTTGGACGTGGACGTGGTCGTAGACGTGGACGTGGACGTGGACGTGGTCGTGGTCGTGGACGTGGACGTGGACGTGGATCTGGACCTGGACCTGGACCTGGACGTGGACGTGGACCTGGACGTGGACCTGGACGTGGACCTGGACGTGGTCGTGGACGTGGACGTGGACGTGGACTTGGATGTGGACGTGGACTTGGACGTGGATGTGGACGTGGTCGTGGACGTGGACTTGGACGTGGACGTGGACGTGGACGTGGTCGTGGACGTGGACGTGGACGTGGTCCTGGACGTGGTGGTGGACGTGGATGTGGACGTGGACGTGGTCGTGGACCTGGACGTGGTCGTGGACGTGGATGTGGACGGGGACTTGGACGTGGACGTGGACGTGGTTGTGGTCGTGGACGTGGACGTGGACGTGGACGTGGACTTGGACGTGGACGTGGACGTGGACGCGGTCGTGGACGTGGACGTGGTCGTGGAAGTGGACGTGGACGTGGTCGTGGACGTGGACGTGGACGTGGACGTGGGCGTGGACGTGGTGGTGGACGTGGACGTGGACGTGGACGTGGTCGTGGACGTGGTCCTGGACGTGGTCGTGGACGTGGACGTGGATGTGGACAGTATAAATAGCGGACAGTATAAATAGCGGTCATTTCTACAGTTGTCAGCTCAATGATCCTTCACGGTTCGCCAGCTCGGCAGCCCAAAGCCCCTGCTGGTGATCCCGAGTCGGGTGTGAAATTAAGGGGTGTTAAATTATCTAGAACAGGGTGTAGAGTGTTTTCACAGAATACAAATTGCGTGGCGGGATTTGTGCGTGTAGTAAACGTGGAAACTTATATCCCAATTCGACGTTTTACACCAGCCGTATCGTTCGGTAGTGCACCCAAACATCCCAGCCTCCCTTGTCACCCACCGCTCGACCATAATTTTCCATGGATCATGGATGGGAAAGCTGAACTTGATGTGCAGCTCCACCAGTTTCTCACTTCAACCATCACATGCAAGATGCTAGCATCACAGTTCGACCAATTGACTCTCTGACCCTGACATGCATGACGTGTCGTTTCGTCCTTTCAAGCCCATATTGCGCCCTTTTCGCCGAATCGCGAGGTGTCGCGTCGCAGCGCAGGACGCGCGCGCTGACATGTCTGTGTCAGGCGGGATGAGATTCGCGCGGGGACGTGAGTCAGAACAGCATGCAGGACAGAGTGCGCGGGGTGCGCGGGGTGCGCGGAGTGCGCGGCACGGCAGCGCCGTCATGCAGGGCAAAAGGACACCCTCCGGATCGCAGGCGCAACGATTTCGCTCAAGACAGCGCCGCCTGAGCGCGAGCATTAGCGAAGATCCGTCTAGCACGATCTGAATCTCTCTAACGGCCCTGAAGCTCTGAGAGTTTGGTGCTTCAATCTGTATCTGCATCTCATGAAAGCACCGCTCGTTCCTGCCGCTCAACTCACTCTCCGGCTCCCCTTCGGATCGCCTGATTGATTATCACCGCGTGGGGTCCGATCGGCGCGTGTGCAGCTAACAAGTTTTTTTGCGAAGCGTCAAGGCGAACGAATCCCTTGGAGTTCCCTGCGGGCCGTTGCTAGCGCGCGGCCAAGGTTGCAGAACGGCGCACACGGAGAGACTCTCCCAGCCGGACCGAATGAGGTACGTCGGTTGGTGATTACCGTTAGTACGTAGGTATAGCGGAACCTCACTATGTGCCTTTTCCCGATGACACGTCCGCGTCTGACACGTCACTATGTGCCTTTTCCCGATCCTCTCGCCTCTCTGTCCCCATGTCGATTACCTTCTTTTTCTCCCTCACGCGGCCTTTTTCCCGCTCGCGCCTTTTCTCCTCCAGATCCCGAACACCCTCAGGGCTGCTCTCTCCGGGTGACTGACGTGTGAGAGTCGACTAAAAGCACGCGTCAAACACCTTCCATTTCCCGCTCATGCTCTTTCCCCCGCACTACCCGATCATCGCCCTCAGGACTGCTCTCTCCGCGTGGCTGACGGGCAGCACAGCACCTCCGCATGGCCAAGCAGGCCATTCTAATCGGCCCAATTCTGCTTATAACGGGGATGGCTCGCCCGCCGTGTCAGTGTCGTGGGAGGACTGGCAGCGCGCGTACGAGCAGGCGCGAGGCGCGGAGGGCAGACAGCAGCAGGAGGGGCATGTGAGAGGCGCGGAGAACAGACAGCGGGACGAGTGTGCGAAAGGATTGGGTGTTGGAAACGGCAGATGCGAGCAGAGCAAAGGCAGTGACAATGGCAGTGGGCGAGGGGAGGGCTGGCAGCGCGTGTGGGACCATGCGAAAAGCGTGGAGGGCAGAAAGCAGGAGGGGCATGGACAGGGCACGGCGCAGGGCAGCAGGGAGAGGGACGAGTGGGGTTGGGTGGGGGGGTTTGCAACGCGGCATGGAGAGGGTGGAGGAACGGAGGGGCAGGCACAGGTGGTGGGGAAAGGGCGAGACGTGGGTGGTATGCAGGGGCAGGGGCAGGGGCAGAGGGAGGGGCAGGGAGTGGTTGTGTGTGAGGGCGGGTGGGAGTGGCTGCATCGCCCCTCTGCCCCGCCTGTGTGGGAGATGACTGGTGCTGTGGCGCAGCCTGTGTCTCAGCCTGAGGCACGCAGTGTAAGCACTGGTTACCAGGAAGCACAGGCAGGTGTTGAAGGAGGTGCAGAGGGGTGGAGGAGAACTGGCATGGGTACAGGAGGGGCTGTAGGTAGGGTTGAGAGGATGGGAGGGGAAGGGGAAGGAGACAGTGCAGTGATTGGAGGGAGTGCAGGTGTTGGGGATGCTGGAGGTGGGAGGAGGGGAGGAGGGAGGGGCGTGGTTGGGGCGGTGAGGGAGTGTGTGTCGCTGGATTGGGTGCCGGAGAGGCTTCTAGTAAAGTTCCAGCAGAGAGTGGGGATGTACCGACTCGGATTCAACTTTCAGGTGATCCAACATGAGTTTCTCTGTGCATGCGTACATGCATGATTGTAAGTGCTGCATGATGCCCCACCGTGTTATTCGCTTCAGTGCATGCGTGCGTACACCTGTTGCCACCTGCATATCATCCGTACCACCCCCTCCCCTGTAAGCATTTTCTACTGTGTGTTATGGTGCGAAGCGGGCATAGCAAGCTTGCAGCACAAGCAAAATACCCGAGCAAGCAAAGCTTGGCAATAATCAATGTGACATTGTGCTCTGAAGCACACGATTGTCTTTCTCCCCTTAAGGCCTGTGCTACAAGCATCCCGTTGCCAGCCTCTCCCCTCCCCTTTTTTCCTCCCCTCCCTCCACTCCCACTCTCACTCTCACTCCAACTTCCCCGTCACTCCTTCTTTTCTTTCCCCATCTCCCCCACCGCCATCAGTTCCGCCATTCCCACCACGACCTACCAGTCAACCCCTCTGTCCTCGCAACCCCGGTCTCTCTAGCCGTCTCTGCATCGCCTATCCACACTCTCACCAGCGCCACAGGCTTGAGGGAGAGCCGGCCCCTTATATCCGTCGGTCCCTATCAGGTGAGTCTGTCTTCTTGCGATGCGGCATGATGCAGTGGCGCTGACTGTATCTTGGTATGGCCGGGGACGTCCAGTCTTTATCTGGATGCAATGTTCAGCGTGATGCAATGTCCAGCCTGATGCAATGTCCAGCCTGATGCAATGTCCAGCGTGATGCAATGTCCAGCGTGATGCAATCGTTAGTCCAAGTGGCCTTTTTGTGTGTTAAACTGATTGTCATATTTTTCTTATGCTCATGCGACCCACCCACGCATTTCCCTGCACCTGCATTCCTTTTCACTCTTGCATGGATGTTAATTCCCCATCGCACACAGGCCTACCCCGCAGACATCAGGATCGTTGTCAAGCCATCTGCTCCCTCTCCACCTTCCAAAGCCGCCTCAAAGCGCCCGGCACCCTCCACTGCCAGCCTGGCTACCAGGCTCGCGGGCATGGTGACCCGTGTTGCCCGGGCGGCGGTGGGAGGGGGCAAGGTGCAGGTGATGCCTGTGGTGGGCACGGTGCAGGTGGCATCTGGACGGGTGGGCCTGCTGGGACTGGCTGATGCTAGGGTGAGTGAGGGCTATGGGTTTATGGGTGTATGATGCTGAGTAGGTGTGCTGAGTAAGGTTCTTGTGTGAGGTGAGGTGACGGGTTGGAAACGTGCTGGAAGTCGGTTCCAAGGGTTGGCTGTATGGCAAACTGCCTGGCACCTACCAATACCAGCCCAGCTGCCAGGCTTGCAAGCATGGTGCATCGCCCCGGGCGGCGGTGGGAGGGGACGAGGTGCAGGTGATGCCTGTGGCGGATATTGTGCAGGTGGCATCTGGACGGGTGCGCCTGCTGGGACTGGCCTGCTGGGACTGGCCTGCTGGGACTGGCCTGCTGGGACTGGCCTGCTGGGACTGGTTGATGCTAGGGTAAGGACCGTGATTGGATGGGTGTATGCTGTTAATTGTGTGTGATGAGTGAGGTGCTTGTGCGAGGTGACTGGTTGGAAACGTGCTAGAAGTTGGTTCCAAGGGTTTGGTTTTCGATCAATTCTTACGGACCTTCCTTCTTCCTATCTCCCATTCCCCCATGCCCTCTCTCCCAGCTGCATCTCTCCCACCACTGGCCATCCTCCACCTCGCACCTCCGCCTCCTCCTGCACAGCCCCTTCTCTGCTGCCCACACGTGCGCATGCAGGTGGAGCAGCACTCGGCTCACACGGCCGCACAGCCATTCCAGCAGCGCTCGTGGCAGAGAGACTCAACCTTGTGCGAGCAGGGGCGCTGGCTTAGCTGGTGGGAGCGACATGAGCGGCAGTCATGTGGATACGAGCAGCGGCATGAATGTGCATGGCAGTGGGAATGGCACGGGTGGTATGCGTGTGAGTACAGACGGTGAAGCCAGGGAAGGTGGTCTGTGGAGTGCAGGGAGGGGAGAGGTGGAGCAGCAGGGGAGTGGGGCAGCAGGGAGCGGTGGTGGTGTGGTGCAGGTGGCGAGGGCCAAGGCGTGTGTGCCGATGTGGCATGGCATGGATGTCAGACTCACAGGCTCCATGCGGTACTCCATGCCCTGGTGCATCGGGTGAGTGGCACGGTGCATTGGGTGAGTGGCATGGTGCATCGGGTGAGTGGCATGGTGCATCGGGTGAGTGGCATGGTGCATCGGGTGAGTGACATGGTGCATCGGGTGAGTGGCATGGTGCATCGGGTGAGTGACATGGTGCATCGGGTGAGTGGCATGGTGCATCGGGTGAGTGGCATGGTGCATCGGGTGAGTGGCATGGTGCATCGGGTGAGTGGCATGGTGCATCGGGTGAGTGGCATGGTGCATTGGGTGAGTGGCATGAGTGCCTTAGGTGATTGGTGGAATGATGGAGTGGAATGGTGTGCGTTGGGTGAGTGCTGCATTGGGTAAGCAGAATGGTGCAGGTAACGAGGGCCAAGGCGTGTGTGCCGATGTGGCATGGCATGGATGTCAGGCTCACAGGCTCCATGCGATGCTCCATGCCATGGTGCATCGGGTGAGTGGCACGGTGCATTGGGTGAGTGTCGTCGTGCCTTGGTAAGTTTTGTAGACTCTAGATGGTGCATTGGGTGGGTGGAATGGTGCCCTGGGTGAGTGGCATGGTGCGTCGAGTGAGTGGTGCATTGGGTGAGTGAGTGGCATGAACCTGTAGTGATTTGGGTGAGTGACATTGACTTGCATTGCATTCGATAGTGAGCTGCATGGTGCATTTGCTGTATTTTTAAGGCTCTCGAGGTGAATGGCACGATGCATTGGTTGACTTGCCTACCATGAAGCATTTGCTGAGTGTAATGATTGGAGAAGGGGTCCAACTGACTGGTTTCCTTACATGTGCTTTGCATCTTCCTTTGCATGCAGGACCTTTTCTCACTGGTTTGCCAATTCTTCTCTTGCTACGTCACTGGGCTCCTTCCATATTGCGGTCGACAAAATTGAAGCCATTTTTTCTCTTTTCTGAAGACCTTGGTTGTGAAAATAGAGGTAAATAACTTTGTTCCAACATTTTCAAATTGGATTCGTTTCTTTTGTACGTTGCAATTGTTGGGCTGAAGTGCCCTAGGATCTTTGTAGAGTTTAAGTCTGAGTAGAATTGTAGTAGCGGAAGCGTTTGAATGAAAGTACTTGAACCACCTTGCGCTAGTATGTGAGGGCAAAGTAAGTTGATTAAACAAGCAAATACAAAGGTTTATATAAGAGTACAAGGAATACGAATAGATAAGTTAAAACCGTTTTACTGTTGCGATTCGATACAGTGCGACTCGGGCAACTGCTCAATGTCGAGTCAGTTGTGTGTCCTTGCTGTCGCGCTGTATTTGTCAAGTCAAAGGTCGCTGACCTTTGACCTTCTCGTAACCTCCAGGCGGTTACCCTAACCTCCGAGGGTTGACTCGCGATGCTTCGATTCGGACTGCTTCGCTAGTGTCCTGAGTTTCGACACGACAGAGGCGCTTAAGACTTATTATTCTCAACACTCCCCTTCGCTTCTGGAGTGTCGCTGATGGTGACGTGGCCTTGTCCGGTCAGCATCATGCAGTACTCGAACTTCTGTTTTCCGAGTTTCTTGGTCAAATAATCGGCTGCCATCTCGGACGTGGGACAGTAGGATAATTCGAGTTTCCTTTTCTCGATCTCGTCCTTCACGAAGAAGTATCGCAGAGCGATATGCTTCGTTCTGTTCGCGAATCCGCTTTTGTTGGCGATGCGAATTGCAGATTGGTTGTCGCAGAATAGGGTGAAGTTGGGTAACTCGGCTAACCTTGCTTCTTCCAGCAGCTCGCGAAGGTAGAGTCCTTCCTTGGTGGCTGAACAGAGGGTGATATATTCTGCTTCAGCTGAAGAGAGAGCGATTAGTTCCTGCTTACTCGACTGCCAGGAGATAGGTCCGATAGGCTCGAGACGATAGACGTAGCCAGTGCGAGAGCGCCTGTTATCAGAATCGCCGGCATGGTCAGCATCGACGTAGCCGATTAGTTTCGTCGTCGTAGCTTCGCCTTTGTAGTAAGTCAGGCCGATCGTCGGTGTGCTCACGAAGTAGTGTAGTGCGCGATCGAGCTCCGCCAGATGCTTTGCTTCGGATTTCTTGAGATAGGTGGCGAGTTGGCTTGCGGAGTAGGATAGATCCGGGCGACAGGTGACAGCTGCGAAGAGAAGGCAGCCCAGTTTCCTTTGGTAGTCTCGTATTCCGGCAGCTTTGAGTGGAGCGGAATTTCCCTTGTCGTTTCCTGCCGTGTAGCGGTATGGTGTGGCGATGGCGGTAGGTGTGAATGAAAAACGTTTGGCGATGGTGTCGGCGTATTTCTCGGCGCTTAGGTAGATCGCATTTTCTTCTTCGCGGATGTTGAGCCCGAGGTACTGGGTCACGGTAGAAGAGACCGTGAGCGTGAGGTCTTTCTGCAGCTCCCCTTCGAACCAGGTGGTGACGTCGTCGGTGGAGCCGATGTAGAGCAAGTCGTCGACATAGACGATCAGTAGGATGTAGTCTGCGCCTTTGGTGAGGCTGTACATTCCTTGGTCGTGAGGCAGTTGGCGGAATCCGATGCGAGTGAGACGGCTGTGTAGGTGCTGTTGCCACAGTCGCGGGGCTTGTTTGATTCCGTAGAGCGATTTCAGTAGTTGGCAGATCTGATTAGGATTTCCGTGAGTGCCGTGTGGGAGTTCGACGAAGATTTCGGCGTCGATGGGTGCGTAGAGGAATGCGTTGGCAACATCGATTTGTCGCAGCTTCTTCTTCTTCATGGCGGCGACGGCGAGAAGGATTCGGAGAGAGGTATGTCGACTGACTGGGGCGAATGTTTCGGTGAAGTCTCGTCCTTGCTCCTGGTCGAATCCACGCACGACCCAGCGTGCTTTGAACTTCTCGATTGTGCCGTCAGCTTTCGTCTTGATGCGGAAGACCCATTTCCCGGTGAGAATGGTCTTGTTCCGTGCCACGCTTGCGGGAACGACCTTCCAGGTGTTGCGTTCCTCTAATGCTTTTAATTCCCTGTCCATGGCTTTACGCCATTTCTCCCTGTGTTCCCCCCCCAGAGCCTGCTGAACCGTCGCAGGCTCTTTAGGAAGCGTGCTGCCTGTGTTCCCGTGGACTGCGGTGACGAGACCAAGGATTTGCAGCCCAGTCTGTGAGTATCGGGGGAGTGTTGTATCCTCTGGATAAGCTGCTTCGTCTCCTGCTTCTGGATCGGGTATGAAATTTGGCCCTATCCTTTCTGCTTCATTTGTGTTGACTGTCGCAGGTGTTACGTAACCGTTGTCGGCGAAGTGATAGAAGACTTCGGCGTTGTTACTGTCGCGAGGATTTTCTTCGTCCATGGGCACGTCGACAGAGCAGTACGGGAGAGGTCCGGCTTCTTCCGATGCGTTGTCGACGTTCTGTTCATCCCAGTCTGCTTCGTCCGCTGCTGAGGCGAAGGCTCGGTCACCACGAAAGCCACCTGTGAGGTCCCGATTCTCGTGCAAGTTGGCGAGGTACGTCTGAAGGGTGAGTCGCTCGTAGAAGATCACATCACGTGCTGCTACTGTTTCCTTTGTGTGGACGTCAAAGATTTTCCACGCGTTGTAATGTTTCTCGATGCCGAGGTGTAGTCCCCACTGTGCCCGTTGTGAAAATCTTCCCGCTCGTGCTTCTGGGGGTCTGTACTGTACCATGCATCCGAAAACTCGTAACATTTTTGTGCTGCCCAGCTTCCCTGTCCACAGCAGATGCGGTGAGGCGTTGTTCGGGAGTGACGACGACGACAACAAGTTGTGCAGCATGACAGCATGGTCCATTGCTGCAGGCCACTGGTGGTTGGGTAGCCGCATGCCACGTAGCAGTTTGCGCAAGCTGTTCTGCAAAGTCCTGTTCATTCTTTCTGCTACTCCTTGCTGCTGATGTGCGTAGGGAAGGGAGAGGAGTTGCTTGATCCCTCTTTCCGCCAGGTACTGCTTGAAGCGCTGAGAGGTGTACTCTCCTCCTCCGTCTGACTGGAAGCTTTTCAGTTGTGTTCCTGATTCCCTCTCTGCTACCGGTAGCCAAGCGGCGAATGCTGCGAGTGCCATGTCGCGGCTGGGTAGGTTGCGATGCCAGACGTATCGAGTGGCGGCGTCGATGAAGGTGATCGTGTAATTGTAGGTGACTTGTCCTGGTTCTCGATTGTAGAGGATGTCGCTGTAAACTTTCTCGAGTGGTGCGTATGCAGGTGCGCTCGGGTTGTGGTGAGAGGAAAACGGTCGATGGGGTAAGTTGGCTTCGGGGCAGATGAGGCAAGTCCCTCGTGCACGTTGAAGTTCTCTGCCGTCGAGTAGTAGTAGCGAATCCTTGTCTAGAACTCCTGCTTGTATCGTGTTGTTTAACACCGTATTGCTTGGATGTCCTGTGCGTGCGTGCCAGATGTCTTCAGGAGCGCGATGTCCGGGTGAGCGTTGATACGCATCAGAGTTGGAGTAGAAGTTGGCGACGATGTTTGCGCTTCGGTGGACTTCTCGTTGAGTCAGGTTCAGCTGTTGTGCGGGTGTTGGTGGTGTTTCGATGACTGGTGTCGTTGGTCCTGCTGCTTTCGATGATGGTTCTGCTGCTGCCGATGATGGTTCTGCTGCTGCCGATGTTGTCTCTGCTGCTGTCGATGTTGTCTCTGCTGCTGTCGTTTGTTGAATCGTTGCTAATGCTCGTGTTCGTTCTGCTTCAGGGATGGTGTGCGAGTACCAGAAACCTCCTGGGCTGAAGTCGGGATCGAGATCCGGAGGATGAGTCCAGTCGGTGAAGTTGACGATGGCGTCGCTGTCTGCAGTGCCCAGGTCGGGGACGAAATCGAGGACGGAGACGTTATTCTTCAACACTGCTTTTCCGATGTAGAGGCCGCCCTTCCCGTGGTATAACTTAAACTCCTGGGTGGTGCTGTCGGCTTCCAAGTGGATGCCTTTCGCCATCGACTGGCTGACACTCAGTAAGTTGTAGCCTAGTCCCTCCGCGATAAGTACCTTTGACATGTGTAATATGACATTTGTTTCTCGTGACTGAAGCTGTACCGCTCCTTGTCGTCGTGTGCGCAGGTTCTGATTGTTGGCGACCGTGATGACTACTTC